ATAGGCTCCAGTTTGAGCCCCTTACCCTGCCCGGAAACCTGTTTCCAGCCCTTGAACCCTATCTCTTCCTTCCTTCCTTGCAGAGGGATGAAGGTGATTGAAAGCCGGGCCCTGAAGGATGAGGAGAAGATGGAGATCCAGGAGATCCAGCTCAAGGAGGCCAAGCACATTGCAGAGGATGCCGACCGCAAGTACGAGGAGGTGCGTTGGCTCCTGTTCAGACTTCGCGGGTTCTAAAGGGCAGGGCTCCAAATTGGTCGAAAACGAAAAGCAGACATAAATAATAGGCCTGTGCGGTTTCGTTCGTTAATTCGTTAAACATTCGTTAATTTTTGCATATACGAAACGATAACAAAACATATTTTCAAACCCGGAAGGGTTTTTAAATATCGAAACGGCAGGCGCCAAAAAATTTTGTATTTCCGTCCATTTCGGAAATACGTAAGATGGCCGCCTGGCTTGCTGGGAGCTCTCCTCTCTCCGCGCCGGCTGAGCAAGCGAGCGAGAGGGCGAGCGAGAGGGCGAGGGCGAGCGGCGAGCGAGAGGGCGAGTGAGAGGGCGAGCGGCGAGCGAGAGGGCGAGCGGCGAGCGAGAGGGCGAGTGAGAGGGCGAGCGGCGAGCGAGAGGGCGAGTGAGAGGGCGAGCGGCGAGCGAGAGGGCGAGTGAGAGGGCGAGCGGCGAGCGAGAGGGCGAGTGAGAGGGCGAGCGGCGAGCGAGAGGGCGAGGGAGAGGAGCGAGAGGGCGAGCGGCGAGCGAGAGGGCGAGCGAGAGGGCGAGCGGCGAGTGAGAGGGCGAGCGGCGAGCGAGAGGGCGAGTGAGAGGGCAAGCGGCGAGCGAGAGGGCGAGCGGCGAGCGAGAGGGCGAGCGGCGAGCGAGAGGGCGAGTGAGAGGGCGAGCGGCGAGCGAGAGGGCGAGTGAGAGGGCGAGCGGCGAGCGAGAGGGCGAGCGGCGAGCGAGAGGGCCCGCCAGAGTGAGTGCCTGCCTTCCCTTAATTTCTCCTCCCTATTCTACTAAATTATTTAATAATTAAATTTAAAAAATATTTAAAAAATATAGAAAAAAAAGGCCCCATCTTTACAAAATGTTTTGTTAATATTTACGAAATTTCGTAAATACCGAAACTTTTTTTTGGAAAGTTTTGTAATTATTTTAAATATCGAAACAAAAAAACACCCCAATTACAAATCGATTTTAGAAACAAATTTTTTCTTGATCAAACAGGCCTAATAAATAAGTATTATATTCTGTGGTCGCCAGGAAATGCATCCCCTTTGCTCAAGCCCTTCTTCCTTATGTCTATATGCATAGGTGGCCCGTAAGCTGGTGATCATTGAGAGCGACTTGGAGCGTGCGGAAGAGCGGGCCGAATTGTCGGAAAGGTCAGTGGCCCTTCCTTCCTTTGCTTGGACGCCTGGACGTCTGTCTGTTTGTCTTGGGATGCTTCATGTTGCATCCGGCTGGGCTTGCATCCGGGGCGATGGCTTTGGGGGTGCCTGGATGGCGTGATGGATGGCGTGTGTTTTGGGGGGTGGGCGGAGGGTGGGTCACTCGCTGGCTCGCTCGCTTGCAATCGGACACGTGTGCCTTCCCCGTGTCGCCCGCTCACAGCCAGGTCCGACAGCTGGAGGAGCAGCTCCGGGTCGTGGACCAAACCTTGAAGGCGCTCGTAGCGGCCGAGGAGAAGGTACTGGCCCGGTCATTCGGCGTCTCTCTTCCTCTCCTCTTAAGCGACTGGACACTTGACCACTTCTCCCTCCGGCCGTAGCCTTTCCTTCTGCTTTCCTTCTCCTCTCCCTTTTGCGTTTGGCTTCTGCTGCTCCCTTTTGGAACGCTTCTCGTCTGTGTGTCTCTCCGTTTTTGTGCGACTGTTGGAGCCCCCCAAAGAGCAGCCAAACAATCTGGGAGTAAAGGTTATTTGTGCACATCTCCAATGGTTTTCCGAGCTCTTGCTCCAGGAATGGGTGGAATTTTGGGCACCTTCCAAAATGGACACCTCGCCAAAACAAAGCCTGAGGATACAGCTTCGGCAAATCAGATTTTGACCGCTGCCACCCCATCGATATATACAAAAATGCTCTGTTCGTTTTGAGTGACATCATAACTCAAAATCCGCTGGACGAATTGCTGCCAAATTTGGCCACAAGACACTTACTAACCCAAGGAGTGATCATCACTAAAAAAAATAATGATTTTGTCATTTGGGAGTTGTAGTTGCTGGGATTTATAGTTCACCTACAATCAAAGAGCATTCTGAACTCCACCAACGATGGAATTGAACCAAACTTGGCACACAGGACTCCCATGTCCAACAGAGAACACTAGAAGTCTTTGGGGGGAATTGACCTTGAGTTTTGGAGTTGTAGCTCACCTACATCCAGAGAGCACTGTGGACTCAAACAAGGAAGGATCGAGACCAAACTTGGCACGAATACCCAATATGCCCAAATATGAACACAGATGGGGTTTGGGGAAAACAGACCTTGACATTTGGGAGTTATAGTAACTGGGATTTATAGTTCACCTACAAACAAAGAGCATTATGAACCCCACCAATGATCGAATTGGGCCAAACTTCCCACACAGAACCGCCATAACCAATAGAAAATACTGTATTTTCTGGTGGTCTTTGGCGACCCTTCCAACACTATTACTACTACTACTACTACTACTACTGTCATCATCATCCTCCCCAAGAATAGAAACAATGTTGGGAATCCCAGTAAGACAATTTGGGCTACATTTGACCATTGCAACCCATTATTATTATTATTATTATTATTATTATTATTATTATTATTTGGCCTACATTTGACCATTGCAACCCATTATTATTATTATTATTATTATTATTATTATTATTATTATTATTTGGCCTACATTTGACCATTGCAACCCATTATTATTATTATTATTATTATTTGGCCTACATTTGACCATTGCAACCCATTATTATTATTATTATTATTATTTGGCCTACATTTGACCATTGCAACCCATTATTATTATTATTATTATTATTATTATTATTATTATTATTATTTGAGCTACATTTGACCATTGCAACCCATTATTATTATTATTATTATTATTATTATTATTATTTGAGCTACATTTGACCATTGCAACCCATTATTATTATTATTATTATTATTATTATTTGAGCTACATTTGACCATTGCAACCCATTATTATTATTATTATTATTATTATTATTATTATTATTATTTGGCCTACATTTGACCATTGCAACCCATTATTATTATTATTATTATTATTATTATTATTATTTGGCCTACATTGACCATTGCAACCCATTGTTATTATTATTATTTGGGCTACATTTGACCATTGCAACCCATTATTATTATTATTATTATTATTATTATTATTATTATTAGGCCTACATTTGACCATTGCAACCCATTATTATTACCGTTATTATTATCATTATTATTATTATTTGGGCTACATTTGACCATTGCAACCCATTATTATTATTATTATTATTATTATTATTATTATTATTATTATTTGAGCTACATTTGACCACTGCAACCCATTATTATTATTATTATTATTATTATTATTATTATTATTATTATCATTATTATTATTTGGCCTACATTTGACCATTGCAACCCATTATTATTACCATTATTATTATCATTATTATTATTATTAGGCCTACATTTGACCATTGCAACCCATTATTATTTGACCATTGCAACCCATTATTACTGCTGCTTACTACTACTATTACTACTACTACTGCTACTATTACCTTCTCAAGACTAGAGCCAATGTTGGGCATCCCAATACGACAACTTTGGGCCAAATTTGACTATTGCAATCTTAATGTTGTTATTGTCATCATCATTCCCCAAGACTAGAGCCAATGTTGAGCACCCCAAGAATACAAATTTGGCCAGTTGGACCATTGCAGTCCAGTTGCCTTTTCAATGTTGTGTTGGGAACAAGGGCATTGACGGTCTTCCTTAAGAACGGAGCAAATGTTGTGCGTCCAAATAATACAAAATTGGCCAGAGTTTTAGTTTTGTGTTGGAAATCTTCGCCGGAACTGGAGACCATACGGGGCCGCCCCAAGAATCCCATTGTGACCATTGCTACCTTTCCCATCCCAGTTTGTTCGGCAGCTTTGGGGCCCCTCTTGAGCCTTGAGACCCCCATTTCTCATTCGTTCTCTCTCTTTCTTCCTTTCCGTCTTTTCCTTCCTCCTTTCCTTCCTTTTCCCCCCTTTCTTCTGCACTTCCTTCTTCTTCTGGTCCTCAAATAATAGCAAATGCGCTGAACTTGAAGAGGAGCTGAAAACGGTGACCAACAACCTGAGGTCCCTGGAAGCTCAGGCTGAGAAGGTAGGCCTCGCAGGCAGCAGCACCATGGGCTTTGTAGTCCCCCTTCAAGGGCATTTAAGGGCATTTGCAGGGGAGGAAACCCTGGCCCTTCTGTTGACCTCGGGTCAAGGGTCCAGAGTATGTCCCCAGCCTTCAATGCAAGGTCAGAAGGACACCTGAGGTGGGGATACTGGAATTTGGAGTCACGTTTGGTGGCATTTTTGGAGGTTTTCATGGGGCATCATCATCACCACCATCCTTTTCTTTTGCCTTGCAGTACTCCCAAAAGGAAGACAAGTATGAAGAGGAAATCAAAGTCCTGACTGACAAACTGAAAGAGGTGAGGAAAGCCTTCCCTACTGGTGGTGGCGGCGGTGGCGGTGGCGGTGGTGGTGGTGGCGGTGGCGGTGGTGGCGGTGGTGGTGGCAGCGGCGGTGGTGGCGGTGGTCGTGGTGGTGGCAGCGGCGGCGGTGGTGGTGGCGGAGGTCGTGGCAGTGGTGGCGGTGGCGGCGGCGGTGGTGGCAATATTCGTGGCGGTGGCGGCGGCGGCGGCGGTGGCGGTGGCGGTGGCGGCGGCGGTGGGGGTGGTAGCGGGGGTTGTGGTGGTGGTCGTGGCGGTGGTCGTGGCGGTGGTGGCGGCGGTGGTGGCGGCGGTGGTGGCGGCGGTGGTGGCGGCGGCGGTGGTGATAGTGGTTGTTGTTGTTATATTGATAGTAATAATAATCAAAGTCCTTATTGACAAACTGAAAGAGTTGAGATAAAGCCTTCCTTATTGAATATATTAGAATAATAATAATAATAATAATAATAATAATAATAATAATAATAATCAAAGTCCTTACTGACAAACTGAAAAATACCTTCTCACTAAATACGACTTTTATGTAATGGAAGGAAGGCAGGAGGAGAGAAGAGTGGAGCTCCAGAGACCTCCGTTTCATAGTTTTTAAACTGCCTTTGCAGGAGGGGAGAATCCAGCCCCAAATGGGGGTGCGACTATTATGTGAAGAACACAAAAATGCAGACAAAGTGGCACCCAAAAATGGGGGTGTGACTATTATGCGATGGAAAGGGGGAGAGAGGAGAGAAGAGTGGAGCTCCAGAGACACCCATTTCATAGCTTTTAAATTGCTTTTGCCTTTGGAGAAAGAAGGAAGGGAGAACCCAGCCCCAAATGGGGGGTGTGACTATTAGGCGAGAAACACAAAAAATGCATATTTTTGGCACCCAAAAATGGAAGTGTGACTATTATCCAGAGGAAGGAAGGAGGAGTGAAGGGTGGAGTTCCTAGACCTCGATTTTATAGCTTTTAAACTGTCTTTGGAGAAATAAGGAATGGAGATGCAACTATTGTGTAAGGAATAAAAAATGTCATTTCAGCACCTAATAAGTGGGGGTGCGACTATTATGTGGTGGAAGAAGGGAGGAGGGAAGAGTGGAGTTTCCGAGAAGTCAGTTTTGTAGCTTTTACACATTCCTTTGTCTTTGGAGAAATAAGGAACAGGGGTGCGACTTTTGTGTGAGGAATACAAAAATGTCATTTCAGCACCCAATAAGTGGGGGTGCGACTATTATGTGGTGGAAGAAGGGAGGAGTGGAGTTCCTGAGAAGTCAGTTTTGTAGCTTTTACACCTTCCTTTGTCTTTGGAGAAATAAGGAATAGGGGTGCAACTATTATGCGAGGAATAAAAAACGCCGTTTTGGCACCCACTCAAAAAAATAGGGGTGCGACTTTTATGTGGTGGAAGGAAGAAGGGAGGAGAGAAGAGTAGAGTTTTTAAACTGCCTTTGTCTTTGGAGAAATAAAGAACAGGTGTGCGACTTTTGTGTGAGGAATACAAAAATGTCATTTCAGCACCCAATAAGTGCAACTATTATGTGGTGGAAGAAGGGAGGAGGGAAGAGTGGAGCTCCTGAGAAGTCAGTTTTGTAGCTTTTACACCTTCCTTTGTCTTTGGAGAAATAAGGAATAGGGGTGCAACTATTATGCGAGGAATAAAAACACCATTTTGGCACCCACTCAAAAAAATAGGGGTGCAACTTTTATGTGGCGGAAGGAAGAAGGGAGGAGAGAAGAGTAGTGTTTTTAAACTGCCTTTGTCTTTGGAGAAATAAGGAACGGGGTATGACTTTTGTGTGAGGAATACAAAAATGTCATTTCAGCACCCAATAAGTGGGGGTGCAACTATTATGTGGTGGAAGAAGGGAGGAGGGAAGAGTGGAGTTCCTGAGAAGTCAGTTTTGTAGCTTTTACACCTTCCTTTGACTTTGGAGAAATAAGGAATAGGGGTGCAACTATTATGTGAGGAATAAAAAACGCCATTTTGGCACCCACTCAAAAAAATAGGGGTGCGACTTTTATGTGGTGGAAGGAAGAAGGGAGGAGAGAAGAGAGGAGTTTTTAAACTGCCTTTGTCTTTGGAGAAATAAAGAACAGGGGTGCGACTTTTGTGTGAGGAATACAAAAATGTCATTTCAGCACCCAATAAGTGGGGGTGCGACTATTATGTGGTGGAAGAAGGGAGGAGGGAAGAGTGGAGTTCCTGAGAAGTCAGTTTTGTCGCTTTTACACCTTCCTTTGTCTTTGGAGAAATAAGGAACAGGGGTGCGACTTTTGTGTGAGGAATACAAAAATGTCATTTCAGCACCCAATAAGTCCAACTATTATGTGGTGGAAGAAGGGAGGAGGGAAGAGTTGAGTTCCTGAGAAGTCAGTTTTGTAGCTTTTACACCTTCCTTTGTCTTTGGAGAAATAAGGAATAGGGGTGCAACTATTATGTGAGGAATAAAAAACACCATTTTGGCACCCACTCAAAAAAATAGGGGTGCGACTTTTATGTGGTGGAAGGAAGAAGGGAGGAGAGAAGAGTAGAGTTTTTAAACGGCCTTTGTGTTCAGGGAAATAAGGAATGGGAGTGCGATTATTATGCAAAGAATACAAAAAATGCCATTTTGGCACCCAATAAATGAGGGTGCGACTATTATGTGGTGGCTAGCTACTATTATGGGATGTGATCTGTGTGTATCTGTCTCCACACCCTCCCTTCTTTTGCCATTTATCCCTCTCTGTTTCCTTAGGCTGAGACCCGGGCTGAGTTTGCGGAGCGGTCAGTGACCAAGCTGGAGAAGAGCATTGATGACCTGGAAGGTATGGATGGCCTTTGGGGGTCTCTTCTGCCCCTTCTTTCCGCTCTGTGTCCCTATATGTAGGAATAGGGCCACTCGGACCCTTGAAACATCGGGATCAATACCGACTATTGGCTCCATTCAGCTGGAAATGAATACAGCAAAGTCTCTCCAAGGCAATTTCAATGGCATTGTCCAATTTCTTATCAATAGTCAATAACTATTGATAGTTTCCATATCAATGGGGTTTTGGCTACTCCAAGTATTATTATTATTATTATTATTATTATTATTATTATTATTATCATCATATTCAATTATTATTGTATTTAGTTATATAATAATAATAATAATAATAATAATAATAATAATAATAATAATAAAAATAATCATTATTATCATATTCCATTATTATTGTATTATATAATAACTGAATACAATAATAATAATGGAATATGATAATAATGATAATAATAAATCAATATAAGTGCATATAATAACATAATGTTATTATATGCACTTATATTGATTTATTATTATTATATTAATGTATTATTGTATTATTTATTGTTATTGTTATTATATTTACTGATATAGATTTATTATTTTCCTGTATTATTCAATGGTTGTTATTGTATTCATATTATTATTATATTATATATATATATATATTATAGATTTATTATTAAATTCATGTTATATTAAATTATTTTTATTCAATTATTACAATTATTCGTATTATATGTGTTTTTATTATATTCACTTATTATATTATATTACATTATATATTATAGAGATTTATTATTCATTTGTTATATTCACATATTATTGTATTCAATTATTATTACCGTTATTATGTTTCTTATTATTATATTCACTTATTATATTCTATTATTATATTATATTTGTTATTATTATATTCACTTATTATATTCCATTATTATTGTATTCACTTGTTATAGAGATTTATTATTTGTATAATATTATATTGAAATATTATCGAATTCAATTATTATTACCATTATTACGTTTCTTATTATTATATTCACTTATTATTTTCTATTATTATATTATATTCTTATTATATTTGTTATTATTATATTCACTTATTATATTCAATTATTATTGTATTCACTTGTTATAGAGATGTATTATTCATGTAATATTATATTCAAATATTATTATATTCAATTATTATATATTCAAATATTATTGTATTCAATTATTATATTCAAATATTATTGTATTCAATTATTATATTCAAATATTATTGTATTCAATTATTATATTCAAATATTATTGTATTCAATTATTATATATTCAAATATTATTGTATTCAATTATTATATTCAAATATTATTATATTCAATTATTATATTCAAATATTATTGTATTCAATTATTATATATTCAAATATTATTGTATTCAGTTATTATATTCAAATATTATATTCAATTATTATTATCATTATTATGTTTCTTATTATATTCACTTGTTTATATTCCTTTATTTTGTTATTATATTATATGGAATTATTATTATATTCCCTTATTATATAGTTTGGACTAAAACCCAAAGCGGACGCCCCTTTTGCTTGCATTTCCTTTCAAGTTCAGACTAAAATTCAGGGACGATACCTATTTATTTGTGTTTCCTTTGAAGTTTGGACTAAAACCCAAAGCAGATGCCCACATTGCTTGTATTTTATTAGTAGTATTTATTTATTCTTATTTCTTTCGTAGTTTGGACTAAATTCCAAAGCGGAGGCCCATGTTGCTTTAATTTATTTTTTAGTAGTATTTATTATTATTATTATGATTTCGTCTGAAGTTTGGACTAAAACCCAAAGCAGGCACCCATTGTGCTTGTATTTCCTTTAATGTTCGGACTAAAACCGGGAGCGGACAGACCCTTGCCTTGCCTTACCATTCATTCCCCTTCTTTAGTAGTATTTATTGTTATTATTATGATGATTTCGGCTGAAGTTTGGACTAAAACCCAAAGCGTGCACCCATTTTGCTTGTATTTCCTTTAAAGTTCGGACTAAAACCGGGAGCGGACAGACCCTTGCCTTGCCTTTCCATTCATTCCCCTTCTTTAGTAGTATTTATTGTTATTATTATGATGATTTCGGCTGAAGTTTGGACTAAAACCCAAAGCAGGCACCCATTGTGCTTGTATTTCCTTTAAAGTTCGGACTAAAACCGGGAGTGGACAGACCTTTGCCTTGCCTTTCCATTCATTCCCTTTCTTTAGTAGTATTTATTATTATTATGATTTCGTCTGGAGTTTGGACTAAAACCCAAAGCAGGCACCCATTGTGCTTGTATTTCCTTTAAAGTTCGGACTAAAACCAGGAGTGGACAGACCCTTGCCTTGCCTTTCCATTCATTCCCCTTCTTTAATAGTATTTATTGTTATTATTATTATGATTTCGGCTGAAGTTTGGACTAAAACCCAAAGCAGGCACCCATTTTGCTTGTATTTCCTTTAAAGTTCGGACTAAAACCGGGAGCGGACATACCATTGCCTTGCCTTTCCATTCATTCCCCTTCTTCCCTTCGCTCATTATTGCTGTTCCTTCCGTTCCAAACCCGTTTGATTTCCTCCTGTCTGTTCTTTTGTTTCCTTTCCTACCTTGGATGCGTTTCCTCCTTCCGTCACTCCTTTCCTGCCGTTCCATCCTTCCTTCCTTCGTTCCTTCCTTCCTTCAGACGAACTGTATGCGCAGAAACTCAAGTACAAAGCCATCAGCGAGGAGCTGGACCACGCCCTCAACGACATGACTTCCATGTAAATGCACACGCCACACCCCCCATGGAACGGGGCACGCTTCCCGGACTGCAAGGGGACCCCCAAAACATCCATCATCATCACTATTAATAATAATAATTAATTATTATTAATAATAATCATTAGTAGTATTAGTATTAGTATTTATTAGTAATACCATTATTATCATGTGTTTTCCATGCCAAAGCTTCTAATCATTATTATTAATAATTATTATTAATAATCAAAGCTTCTAATCATCATCATTATTATTTATTTATTATTAATTATTATTAATGATTATTAATAATCATTATTATTAGTAGTAGTAGTATTTATTATACTATTATTATCATGTGTTTTTCATGTCAAAACTTCTAATCAATATTATTAATAATTATTAATTATTAATGATTATTAATAATCATTATTATTAGTAGTAGTAGTATTTATTATACTATTATTGTCATGTGTTTTTCATGCCAAAATTTCTAATCAATATTATTAATAATTATTAATTATTAATGATTATTAATAATCATTATTATTAGTAGTATTAGTATTTATTATACTATTAATATCATGTGTTTTCCATGTCAAAGCTTCTAATCATTATTATTAATAATAATTAATGATTATTAATTATTAATGATTATTAATAATCAAAGCTTCTAATCATTATTATTAATTATTAATGATTATAAATGATTATAATAATCATTATTATTAGTAGTATTAGTATTTATTATACTATTATAATAATATGTTTTCCATGCCAAAGCTTCTAATCATTATTATTAATAATAATTAATTATTAATGATTATTAATAATCATTATTAGTAGTATTAGTATTTATTATACTCTTATTATCATGTGTTTTCCATGCCAAAGCTTCTAATCATTATTATTAATAATTATTATTAATAATCAAAGCTTCTAATCATCATCATCATTATTTATTTATTATTAATTATTATTAATGATTATTAATAATCATTATTATTAGTAGTAGTAGTATTTATTATACTATTATTATCATGTGTTTTTCATGCCAAAATTTCTAATCAATATTATTAATAATTATTAATTATTAATGATTATTAATAATCATTATTATTAGTAGTAGTATTTATTATACTATTATTATCATGTGTTTTTCATGCCAAAATTTCTAATCAATATTATTAATAATTATTAATTATTAATGATTATTAATAATCATTATTATTAGTAGTAGTAGTATTTATTATACTATTATTATCATGTGTTTTTCATGCCAAAATTTCTAATCAATATTATTAATAATTATTAATTATTAATTATTATTAATAATCATTATTATTAGTAGTATTAGTATTTATTATACTATTATTGTCATGTGTTTTTCATGCCAAAGCTTCTAATCATTATTATCATTAATTATTTATTATATATTATTATTAATAATCATTATTATTAGTAGTATTAGTATTTATTATACTATTAATATCATGTGTTTTCCATGCCAAAACTTCTAATCAATATTATTATTAATTATTAATTATTAATGATTATTAATAATCATTATTAGTAGTAGTATTAGTATTTATTATACTATTAATATCATGTGTTTTCCATGCCAAAGCTTCTAATCATTATTATTATTAATAATTAATGATTATTAATTATTAATGATTATTAATAATCAAAGCTTCTAATCATTATTATTAATAATAATTAATGATTATTAATTATTAATGATTATTAATAATCAAAGCTTCTAATCATTATTATTAATTATTAATGATTATAAATGATTATAATAATCATTATTATTAGTAGTATTAGTATTTATTATACTATTATAATAATATGTTTTCCATGCCAAAGCTTCTAATCATTATTATTAATAATAATTAATTATTAATGATTATTAATAATCATTATTAGTAGTATTAGTATTTATTATACTCTTATTATCATGTGTTTTCCATGCCAAAGCTTCTAATCATTATTATTAATTATTATGATTAATTATTATTAATGATTATTAATAATCATTATTAGTAGTATTAGTATTTATTGTACTATTATTATCATGTGTTTTCCATGCCAAAGCTTCTAGTCCTCATCATTTTGGAAAGTTTTTTTAAGTTCCTATGTATTGTTGAAGGCTTTCACGGCCGGAATTACTGGGTTGTTGTTAATTTTCCGGGCTGTCCGGCCATGTTCCAGAAGCATTCTCTCCTGACGTTTCTCCTACATCTATG